TTCCCCTAACCATGTGATGATAAATACCACCACATGCAAAGTAAAACAAGCAGCAAATGCAGTAACTGTCTTGTTCTGGAAGAGAAGCATCTCAGCAAACAACAGCAGCACACTATAACTACATTAGCTGCTTAAGAAACCTTGACAGATGACAACCTGATGTCTGAGGGTCCTGTGAGGAGCCCCTAGAGGAGGACTGATCAGAGGATGATGGCTGTGGTGCTGACCCCTCAGCTAGCTCTCGCTGTCTCTGTTGTTCTGCCTTCTTAAGCCTCAGCCGCTGTAGACCCCTACGGATTATAGCTAACTCAGGTCCCATTAACTCTGATGAACAGGGAGGGGGGAAAAAAAAAAAAAAGTATGTAAAAGAAATAAGCATTGAACATACAATATACAGAACAGGGAGGAAGGGGTGAGGAGACTGACCAAAGAGAGAAGCAACAGGTATTAAGTGTAATTGCAGTGAAAAAAAAAAAAGAAAAGGTAAATCATTTACCAATGTTCACAAACTATACAATAAAATACTGAAATTGTTTTTCTCTTTCTAAACACTTGAATCATGGAATTTAAAAGTTCAGTTTCATGTCATACAATACATCCCCCCTCCCCATCTCCAACACTAAACCATTTAACAATGAATTACTTAACGAAAATAGATAGAACCTGACTGCTTCAAAAAACGAAGCAAACACAAGCATTCATTTTCATGTTCCCAAAACATGTAACAAATGAGAATATTCCTGGTGTAAAATTATGCAACTGTGGTCTACAGGTAAATTCAAAATTAATACGATGGCTTCCTGATGTGGGGAAAAAAAAATTAGCACAACTTTGAACAAAACAAACCTGTGAAAAAAGTAAATTTGGACTATGGAAATAGGTAGTAGAACAGCATCTAACCGAACAATATACTTCATTATGAACTCATTTTTTATCTCAGACATTTCCAGCGGATGAAGATCCAAAGTCTGAAAACACTGTTAAGTGGTCCTACAGAGAAAGCAATTTACTGTATCATAAACAATTCTTAGTATCATTCTCTTAAAGACTATTCTTTCAGTTCCATCTTTATCGGCTTCACTGTTTTCATCTTTTAGTTTTTATTAATCAGCTATACCATTTTGGCATGTACCAGACCACTGTTTGATTAACAGTATTTTTTGCAAACTGTTATAAAACTAGGTGGCCAAGTAATTTTTTATCCTTTCCATGCTCTTTGCAGATTTCCTCCCACTTACACAAGTGCTGCATAGCAAGCGCTTCTCTCTATACAACAGAAGTTGTGTCTTTAGTAGCAGTAGCTGAAGCGCATGAACCTGAACCACTGCTGAGCTACTCCCATCCGTAATACGGTAGGGTAGAGAAGCTAATTCAGACTCATTCACATCGAATACTAGTTGTGCTATAAACTGCTAGACTAGACCTATCATGAAAGTATTTAGATAAAGGGCACTCTGGAATATTTTCTAAATATGATGAAATCTGCAAAGGAAAAAAATACTATGAAATGTTAGAATACTAGAAAGCATTACATTGTCACATAACCTCTCATCCAAGCAAAAGCTTTACAAATATTCTGTAACCTTTCTTCACTCAGTGAAGCAAGCAAATCTTAAAGATTTTCTTTCATAAAAAGAAACAAACCAAAAGCATGAATCCAATAATTCAAAACTAGTTTCATGCACCAGTTAATATTGAATAGTCATGAGCTCCAACATTCTCAGCCTAATATCACTACTGGGAAATACACCCTGCCAGTTTATGGTTGATGAGGTATAACAAGAAGGGGGGGGGGAAAAAAAAAAAACAAACAACCATTCTTAGAAGGAATATAGCAAAGAGATTTGATATTAAGAGTTTTCATGTGCCATGAACATGTATAGAAATTAGAACTCCAAACAGCCTTAGAAATGCTTCTAAGGAAATTTCAATGATGTCTAAAATTGCAGTTTTCAGTACTTGCTGCTCAATCCAGAGATAGTTACACTTTAAGATGTTATAAGAACTACAATTCATGTAAAAATGTAGAGATAACTGCTATCCTGATTATGATCAATGACAACACCTTTCAACATGCGTTATTTCAGACCCTCTAAGCAAAATGTTTATGTTGCCAGCAAATGGAGTAAGGAAATAAAGGAGAAAAAAAAAAAGCTATTGCCACTTTCCCATGTAAAATTTACAAGTAAAGTTATGTTATATCAAAACACATATTAAGATTAAGCTTTGTCCTATGTCAATTGGCACATCTCATAACTGCCTCATAACTGTGCAACATCATGGGTTACACGAGTATATAGACATTGCAGAAATGATAATTCTCATTCAAACCTACCCATTCATAAACCCATTGCTACTGCTCTGCCATGACCTGCTCCTTCTGCCCAAGAGCTTCCCTTCTCCCTGAACTTGCCTGTGTTACCCAAAACACTTCAGTTACTGTAAAACGAATCTTTAAAAGAAGCGCAAACTAGAGAAGTTGTTTACTAGGTGTGGAAACGTATAACACTATTGAGTTTACTCCTGAAGAAGCCCTGTAGACAATTTAAACACCTGGTCCTAACACTAAAATCTGCATACAAGAATGAAAAATACCAGATAGTTTTGTTCATTTATTTCTGTTGTTTATATGGATTTAGGGAGGGAAGACTTTTTTTTTTTTTTTTAAAGAATGAGCAGCTGATCTGACACCCTGTTTAAGCTGTAGCCAACCTACTAACTATTATACAGTAAATTAGAAAGCATCTACTGTCTGTGAACAAAACAACCACCACTACCCCTTTCAAAATTGAATATATGGAGAGTTAAGTCTGAAGTAACACCGGGAAAGAGGAAATGCTCTTAGAGAAGAGATGGATTAAGAAATAACTTCAGCTTCATGCTGGCAAAATAAACTTTTACTTAGAAATTCAGATTCAGGGAAAGAAAACACTCTCTAGTCAGCACGCATTCTTTAAAATGCAGCATAGACAATGCATCTTAATTCCAAAATGCTGACTAATGCATTATCATTATGCAACGTACAAAGTTTCCATGACATAGCTTGAGGCAATTATTTCTAATATGGGGCATACTCTCCTGGCCAGCATAAGTAAGCTGTAAGCTACCCACACACTTTAAAAAAATAAATAAATAGAACAAAATGAACTCTTAATAACGGTATGCATGTTTTTTGGTGACTATCCCTGTCTACCAAAGATAGCAGCGGCTAAACTGGGTTACGCTGAATTAGAGCAGACCGACCCATTAATCAATTTTTTGTGTGTGCATTCTGGGAAACTTGAGATTGCAACAAGCTGTCACTAATACAAAAAAAAAAAAAAAACAACAGGTGACTAAAAGACTCTGCCACTAGAAGTAGTAGCTGGACTCTGTGTATTGTCATTCTTCTGCTCATTGTTTATTCCCTCTACAAGTATCGGACTAATTTGAAAGGGTGAAAATGACACATTTAATGAATTTCAACTTATGTCTTTAGCTCCCCTGTCTTTCAGATATCAGACACCTATTCATTTCTCACATGCCCCAAAGATTTTGGCTGCAGTACCTACAGTACATTGAATGGCACACTTTTCCCTAGAAAATTCCCATCTCTCCTTTACTCCAGAACATCCAGTTTAAGGCCTGAAGATGCTATCAGTCATCTTTTCTAGTGACAAAGACCTTGACTTTTTTACAGCAGAATTGGTACAAAGCAAAAGGTGAATTTATACGAAACCCACAGGATTTTAAAATAATCAAGTCTGCACCTGTAGGTGTTTGTGATCGCGTCAGCCTTTCCCCCACAACTGTCATGCAAATATTTAATTCTATAGGCTGTGGCATCTTCTCCTGCATAGAGATAGGAAAGGGTCAAAGCATAAGGTGCTCTTTTACTACACAAGTAAGTTTCTGGCTCTGACAGTGGAACATACTTTCTTCTTTTTCCACACAATAAGAATGTAAATCCCTATTAAATACACATGAGTTTCTTCAAGATACACAAACTTAAAAATCAATACATAGTATAATTTATTAACCAATAATGGAATATCTATCCAGATACTTTTGAGAAGCAAAAAAATAACCTTGCTGACTCT